TATTGTGGACCCTGGACGGCAGCAGTGCTGGCTCAAGATGTTGGGTCCCTGTCACTGATATGAGAGACCCAGGGTGTGGTGTATATCTCCTTGGCCTTTGGCCTTTGGCCTTTGGAGAGTGAGCCAGAAGATGGGAGATGTCTCTGACTTTCAAATAAAATAGGTAAATAAAGAATTAGGGAGCCAGCGGGAAAATTCTGGAAAGCAAAGCTTCCAGAAGCTTCAGTGAAGAGCCCAGGCCCCCAGGCCAGCCGTGTCTACGTGCACCAGACACAGAGGCTGCCTGCCTCTCCACTGGGCCCAAACTTGCTGGCAAAGCTGGATTCATCTCCCACATGAGATAAATTCCAGCTGGTCAAAAGATTTAAATTAAAGGAAAAAAAAAAAAAAACAAACAAAAAAAGTACTAGGAAGAAAATATATTTATAATTGTGGAAAGCAAAGAAATGTTTAAGAATGACTCCAAATAAAGAAGCCAAAAACACAAAGAGTCGAAGCAACATGGACCGTACACTGAAAATGCCAGATAAGGGTGACACACCAAGGGAAAATAAACCAAACCAAACAGGGCCAGGCAGTTCACGGAAGAACCAACTACCGGCACCAGCAACACGACAAGCAAACCGCCCAGTAAACCAAGGCTGTGGGGCACACATTTGGCCTTTATGGTCAAAGGTGCTCATTTTCCGGCGTCAGAGCACCCGGGTTGAACACTAGGCTCTCCAGCTCCTGCTATCGTGCTCCCTGGGATCTGTGTTAATGACTGAAGTTCTCCACTTGGTTCCCTGAATATGTTCCCAGCTCCTGGCATCAGCTGGGCCCATCCCCGTCATCACAGGCATTGGGAGACGAAAGCAGCAAATAGGAGCGAACTCTCTCTGCCTCCCAAACAAATAAAAACAGATTAATGACTCACCAAAGTAAGCCAATGCCTTATTGATATCTTGTTCATTAGAACTTGACTTTTACAAATTTGTTTACTCAAGTTTTCAAATGAACAAAGATGTCCACTTCAGCACCACAGCTGGGAACTTTCCAGACCAGGAAAGTGCTTCCATCATCAGTGGAGGGTAAATAAGACACTTGTGGGAAGGAGTGCCAGACAGCCAAGAAAGAGTGAGGCGGATCAAAGCCGCCAAAAACACAGTGGCGTATGTGGGAAAGACGTCCAGTTACTGGCAGTAGGTGTTTCTGGGAGATGGGTACCAGAGGATTCCATTTTTTACACTTACTTTTCTTTATTTTCTGAACTTTTAAACAATTTTTTAAGATGACTATCCTAAGTAGAATGTGAACAAAATATTAAAATATCCGTACAAGCATTCCAAACCCTGTGTTCTGCAATAACAACAGGGTTGGCTTACTGACAGATGCAAATGCCACTTCCCCAGTTAAGAGACATCTGCAGGGGCTGGCGCTGTGGCACAGTGGGTTAACGCCCTGGCCTGCGGTGCTGGCATCCCACATGGGTGCTGGTTCGAGTCCCGGCTGCTCCACTTCCGATCCAGCTCTCTGCTATGGCCTGGGAAAACAGTAGAAGATGGCCCAGGTCCTTGGGCCCCTGCACCCACGTGGGAGACCCAGAAGAAGCTCCTGGCTCCTGGCTTCGGATTGGCACAGCTGCGGCCATTGCGGCCAATTGGGGAGTGAACCATCGGATGCAAGACCTCTCTCTCTCTCTGCCTCTCCTCTCTCTGTGTAACTCTGACTTGCAAATAAAAGAAAATAAATCTTAAAAAAAAAAAAGGGAGAGAGAGAGACAGCTATAAACATTTCCTAATATTTGGTTAATGATGTTTGATAATTTGTTCTTTGGTTTTCGGCATCATGTTAAACACAAATGTGATTTCAAGAAATGAGACTCTGCATGAGTCCAGACTGGACTAAATAGCACTGACAGATGTGTCACAGAGAATGCATGTACACAAGCAATCAAGTCACCGGTGGGTGCCACCTGATCTGATGGGGAACATGTAACTCAAAGTTAAAACAAGAGATTAACAGCTAATTAGATTTGAAAAATAAACTACATTCTTTCATTGCTGAATGGCAAGGATTCTAACTGATCATTTTTGTTCTCGCACGTTACCTTATAAACTGCTGACAGCTCTTCATCAACAAACCTCAGTAAAAGGACAACAGAAAATCCAAGCAACTGATTGGTCACTTCTTTTGGAAATTCAGGTAAGTTGATCTCCCCATGGCTTAAGTGATCTCTTATCCGGGGACCCTCCTGATGGTTCAGGAAATCCCAGAGAAAGTCCTTTCATAAAATAAACAGAAAATGTTTCGTTAGTAACCCAGGAAGAAGAGAGA